TCAACGGACTCGCCGAATTTGTTTATCAAGTCGACGAGTTCATGACCATCTTCATATGACTCGCCGAGTTGACTATGAAAATCGCCGAGTCCTTGCAGACCTTCATCCATGCAGACACTTTTCAAGCCATGCCAAGGTTCCAGATTATAGATCCAGCTTCTAAGGCATGTTTATCACGTAAAGTTGCAAACTTTACACGCATGCAAGGCCCTAAAGGCTCTAAATGACCAATCTAAGCTTCTAATGGAGCTTTACACCATAGGAGAGTCTCATCCTTGCAAGAGCTGGAAACTTAATGGACTTTGGACTCAAAAGAGGTTCAGATATGAAGTTTCAACTTCAGATCTAGCTCCCATACCGAAATCCCTTCATGAATAACTAAAGAAAACCCTAGTTTCCACATATGAATGATTCTAGAAGAAAAAGAGGTTAAGATAACAGCTGGTTACCTCCAAAACGTGCCCAAACTGAAGTAGACTCTGGATCCACACAGAAATCTTGATGCTAGCCTCTTGATCTACAAATTTCCTTCACAAAAGTCACTTCCCAAAGCTCCAAAACACTCTCCAAGCTCGCACTCATGGAAATTAGGGTTTCTGGGTCTCAAGAGGGTGATAGAGGACAGTGGGAGGCGCTAATGGTCCAATATATAGGGTGCAAAACCCTGAAAATTAGGGTTTCCACTGCCAGCTCCTACTCGTCGAGTCCCTCATGCCGACTCGACGAGTCACTCATTAATTGACGTGTCCTGGCCCGCTGCTAGTCGACGAGTCAAGCGCCAACTCGTCGAGTAGACCTTAGACATGAAGTCTAAATGGAAAAATTAATAATACCTGACGGTTGGGATGTTACAGCGGATGTGTGGATAATGTTATTGTATGAGAATTACTAAGAGAATAAATTGTTTACTATTGTGAATACATTCAATCTTACACAACTATCGTCATTTTCATTCATTCTCACTAATTCTTATTCGTTTTTGTTCTGATGCATCCTTTTTTACTCATTTTCATTTTTACAGAATACGACTCAATAAACATTCTGACAGAATGTGAATAAAAAAAAATCTATAATAACCTTATAGACGATTTAATTAGTGAGAATACGTGATAATTACAATAGTTATGTATAATTGAACGTATTCAAATTATCAAACAACATATTTCTTTGTCATTCTCACAGAATAACATTATCCACACGTCTTCACAATAGATGTCAATCCACATTTGAACTCAGCTCTCTCTCTCTCTCTCTCTCTATATATATATATATATATATATATATATATATATATATATATATATATATATATATAATAACCTTACACGAACGTATTCAACTGTGTAATAAAAACAAACAGTAGGAACCTTCCGAGTTAAAAAAATAAGTTAGGGACCAAACGCACAAATTACACTAAACCATAGGAACCATTCGTGTAATTTGCTCTATATTTTAGGACTGTAATGACTGTGGGCCATATTTTCAGGGATGTGCTAAATTGACCTATGTTTTCTCAACCAAAAAAAGCTTAAAAACTGCTTCTATATGAACGAAACAAGGGGACAAAAGGCTCAAAAATATATGATCTTGATAAAAGCGTGCGGACTATTTGATTGCTGATTACCAAGTAATTCAGTGAATATGAGTTCTATCGTGTCAAAGTCTCAATTACAACATAGAACAAACCTATTTCTTTCTTTCTTTCTTATTTATTTATTTATTTTTATATCGAGCTTGTAGAATTGGTATACTTTGCATAAAAGTTACGAAAATAATTCAAATTTCAAGAGTCATTCAATTATATTAGCATTTTACTGCTCTCGAGTCAAAATTATCTAGCAATTAGTTTTGAAAATTAAGTATATTGATTTTAGTAAAAAGAAAATTTAAGTCTAATTACAAAATAATAAGAAATTAAGTTTGTTTTGTTGTTTATTTCAATCTAATCAAGTTTGTAATCAATCATCATGTGTCGTGTACGTATCAATTTGCTTGTTATTGAGTTTCTCCCCGAAAAGGGTATGAACCCTAATAATTTAAATCATGCTAGACAATAAATTCCTAAATATTAGGCAAAAAAATATCATGCGCGTTTTTGGCCTTGGAAAGATGTTAGGCTTAAGAAAGCAACACACGTTCATATTAATTTGGCTCTTCGAGTTTTCATGGTTGATTGACTTGATTCTTCGACTTGTTGCAAGGTTCTATGGTTGGATTTGTGTGACATTCTTGTTATACATTGATTATCAAATACATATTAGCAATTTGTCATAATACATTGATTAATTATCATATCCAAATTATTTTATTACAAAATTGCTTTCAAGTTTTCTAGATTATTCTTATTTTCTTTGGTCTTTTGGGGTTGCATTTAGATTTTTTATGTTCTTGGAAGGAACCTTTATCAATGGTGGGAATGAAGGAACCTTCATTTTGGTCCTAAAACCATGAACAAATGAAGTCAAGAAATTTATAAATACAAAATGGTTCCAATTAAATATATAAACGGCCCACAAAATACTTTAACGACATAAATACCACAAAACCTGCTAAACCTTTTATAGCCGGTCAAAGTTATATAAATAACACAAAAAACTATTTTGAAGACCCTAAGGTGTACCAAAATTATTTTTTATGATGATTATGGAATAAATGGAAAGAAATGGTTGACGGATATTAACCGACTCCATTGTTTTAGTTACTACCAACCTTGGCCTTGGGTGTATTCTTTCATTTAATTTGATTATGAGGTATTACCTAAACTAAAAGATTGAGGTTTATATATATATTATATATATATATATATATATATATATATATATATATATATATATATATATATATATATCTTTTTCAAAATAAAATTTGACTGAAATGAAATGTGTTCAAGTTTGCAATTATAAAACTATTGAGACTTGAACCGACAAACAAGAAGCAAGTATCAGACATGATAATGTATGAAACAAAAAACAATATAAAAGTACACAAAAGAAAAAGGAAATACAAAATGAAAAACACAAACTTACGGAGTTACACTTTTGTATAATATAGGAGTAATACTATTTACTATTGAGAGCAGTTTTTCTAAGAAGACAAATGGCCTGGGTGAGCACTGAATCAAGTCCATGACAGTGAAGGACGGCGGCTTATGCCCATGGCTGCCACCACTACCTTACAAAACACTTGACTCCAACCAGACTAAACAATAACCACCTATTTATTATTTTTGTTTTTTAAATTAAATTTGTCAAAATAGAAAACTTTGACCATCTTTTGATCTTATTTGTCCTGTGACACTTCATTTTCTTTTTGGGGCTAAATTAGCAGTCACTAGAATACTAGATGGTGTGAGATTCAGACTTTACCTCAGTCAAAGATCGGATTACGTGGGTTCAAAGTTGATCATTTAAGGCTTAATGCTACTCAATGTACATGTTTTGATGTTGTTGTTATTGACATTAAAACCATATTATTTTTATTTCCGTTTTCTAATGTGCCTTTTTGTATAGCATTAATCTTGCTACCTATGAAAAATTATGTCCCAAAAAAAAGTAACCTTTGTTATTTCTTATTTGGGAATATGACTTATTAAAGTAATTAACTTTTCGGTAAGTTTATATTTGGGTAACTGTCTTTTTTTTTACACATTTAGGTAACAAACTTGTTGGAAGTGTTCACATATGACCATTATGACCTGCTATAGCAGGTTAAATACTAGATGTGAACGCTTTCAACAAGTTCGTTACCTAAAAATAGTTACCCAAATATGAACAAAACGAAAAGTAAAAATCAAATTACACGAATGGTCCCTGTGGTTGGGGGAATTTGTGTTTTGGGTCCATAACTTAATTTTTTAACTTGGATTGTCCCTATTGTTTATTTTTGTTGCGCGTTTGGTCACTGTCTTACCTAAAAAGACTATTGTGCCCTTATTAATTTATTTTTTAATTAATTTTCTTATTTATGCATTTATTTTTTACATATTTAAAAAAATTAATAGACCCCACATATTTGTATCTCCTCGGATGATCCCTACTGTTTATTTTTTAATTAATTTATTTTTTTTAACTCGGATGGTCCCTACTGTTTATTTTTGTTACGCGTTTGGTCCCTGTCTTACCTAAAAAGACTATCAAACGGCCCCTAAGATTACCTAAAAGTAAAAATTAAATTACACGAATGATATGTGGGGTATATTAATTTTTTAAATATATAAAAAATAAATACATAAATAAGAAAATTAATTAAAACATAAATTAATAAGGGCAAAATTGTCTTTTTAGGTAAGACAGGGATCAAACGCGCAACAAAAATAAACAGTAGGGACCATCCAAGTTAAAAAAATAAGTTAGGGACAAAAACACAAATTCCCCCGAACCAGAGGGACCATTCGTGTAATTTAATTTTTACTTTTCGTTTTGTTCATATTTGGGTAACTATTTTTTTTGTACACATCTAGGTAACGAACTTGTTGAAAGCGTTCACATCTAGGATTTTACCTGCTATAGCAGGTCATAATTGTCATATGTGAACACTTCCAACAAGTTTGTTACCTACATGTGTACAAAAAAAAGATAGTTATCCAGATGTGAACATACCGAAAAATTAATTACCTTAATAAGTCATATTCCTTTTCTTATTTAAACGAACCAACTATTTTTGTCACAAAATTAGTATACTTTCAAAAAAGAAAACACACTAAGGTGGCAAACTTTACAATTGGTTTAGTTGTAAAACTATGTATTAAGCAAATATTTTTATAAATGTGTCAATAAATTACATAAGAAAAAATTAAAATATTGTCGACAAAATTAAAATGATGACCTCAATGTATTTCGTACATCATACTACTTATTTTAAGGATTTTTTAATGCGATTAACTCGGATTGTGAAATTAGTGAGAAACATATAACTGATCCGTCGGAGAAGGCTACCCCACTCCGTCTCTCCTCACAACCACTTGGTTCACCCTCCAAAGTAATAGCATAAAGCGAGAGAGAGTTGCAGATAAAAGCTCAAAAAGTCATGGAGAAAACCGTGAGACTCAAAACTGTCAATGTATTGTGAAGCATTAACCTATTCTTACCTACTCTGCATGTTTGTGTGTGACTGAGAGACAGCCGGAGATATTACCGGACGGTGTTCGACGGAGAAGAATGGCCGGGTTGGTTCAAGACCGGAATGGAGAAAAACGGATGGACAAGCAGATTGGTTGCATGTCTGGTTTCCTTCAGATCTTTGACCGCCAACAGATTTTGGCCGGCAAACGCATCCACTCCACCAAGCGCCTCCCTCCTTCCACCGTAAGCTCTCTGTTTTCTATTTGTTTTTAGTGTACTAATTCCTGTCGCGAAAATGTAACTGAACAGAAATATTAATGGTGGTGTTAAACTGATTCCTACAGGGATTCCCTGCATCATCGGAGACGGTGAATTCCGTTAAGTCGCCGGAGTTTTCTGGAGAGGTAGGAAAGACAGAGCCACAGAAACATGCGGTGGTGGTACCAGCAAGTCCAAACAGTTCTCAATCATCCGCGGCAGAGAATGCAAATGTCCGCTCGATAGCAATGCCGGAGATATCACAGCTGTTGGTTCCGAGAGAGGTCCGTATCAACAATGCAGTTGCATCAGTCAATGGTGCCAATTGTAATAGCAAGGTTGCTGAAGGCGATGACAAGCAACGGCGATCCCCCAGCGTCATTGCGAGACTCATGGGACTCGAGCCATTGTCATCTTCCGATCAGAAAAGTTCACAGCCCGTTACAAAACTGACGCTACGGAGATCTGCTTCGGAAGCTACGGATTCAAGAGATCTGGTTCGCTCAAAATACATCGACGGCAACAATTTCCAGGTGAAACTGCCGAATCATTCCCAAAAGAGAACCGTAGAAACTATTGTTAGAGATGAAGGGAGAAATGTAAGTAACAGAGAATCCTCAAATGGTAGTGCCATGAAATCAATGCGAAATGCATCGGGAAATCCGAAGTCTGAATCTCCTAGAACGTCTCCATGGAGGTCGTCTCAGCAAAAGAGAAGCTTCTTTGATTCAGCGGATTTTTTCCCGGAGCCAAATCAGATGACGGTGTCGATGCATGGAGATTTCGAGAAGAAATTGAAGATGAGAGGGATGGATGAACAGTCAAATGATCTAGGCACATTGAAACAAATTCTTGAAGTTTTGCAACTTAAAGGTCTTTTGCGTTCTACCAGACCTCCAATTAGAGACCACCAGCAAAATTTCGTCTACGATCGGAATCTGCCTTCCGACGAATCCAGCATAATCCTCATGAAACCTTCGCGTTCGGCAGCCTCAAAAGTTGATAATCAGAGATCTGCAAATGATTCTCGAGGACCGCGTAGATATGCTACCGAAATTTCTCCGTCCATTAGTCCAAAACGGGAAGGTGGAGCTGTTAATCGGACCGGGAGGAGTCCGGTGAGAGCTAGAAACTCTTCGCCCACTCGAATCGAGAGTAACTTAAAGAGTTGTAATTCAATTGTTAAAAGGAGACCATTAAGCATTGAAATCCAAAGAAGAGCAAATGACTCCTCCGATTCACTTCGAACTACGCCAATTAATTCTCCCAAACTTACACCTAAAAGAAACCATTCCTCAACTAACAGGTCTCCGATACACCAGAAACCGATGGAATCATCCTCGTTTAATTCTCCAAAGCAACGGATCATCAAAAACGTAGTTACAGACGACGAATCATCCTCCATTTCTGAAAGCACCTTCAGTACACCTTCAACAACCGATACAGAGGTATATAATTGTCAATTACTACTATCACCTGGAGTCCTCATTTATTCGTTTTATTCCTTCTAATTTCGCCTAATTACAGAGATCCAAATGGGAGGGACTCAGAGAAGGAAGATGTTCGTTACATAAATGTGACAAGTTGCTACATAGCGTAGGTAAGATGAACAGTACCACTGAGTCATCGCCGATTTCAACCACAGTTCTACCGAGTCCGGTGTCGGTCCTTGACTCGGGATTTGACAAGGACGAGTCGTCGTCTCCTTCACACAGCATTGATTACAAAGGTACCCCCAAAACAAACGTTGATTGCGTTCACATGACACTTACATGTTTGACTTATTATTACACTCTTGTTGCTTCAACCAACTGACGTGGCATAACAAATTCTTATATTTTTTTATTTTTTTTACGGATCAAAAATATATTTAACCTTTGCGAAACGTACTTTTATACCGTAAACACTACACGTTATTAAAGATCAATATTTCTCAAAATTTTATGTTTTCAATATGTGGTCAAACTGAAAGTACACAGTTACTGTCTTCTTTAAGATGGAGTATTCTAGTAGTAAATTTAATAGCATTCAAGTGATGTACTACTGGAAATCCTGAAGATAATAGAACAACTGTAACTAATGTCGGTGTTTAATGCCCTATTTTTACATGATCGCTGATAGATCTATAAAACAAAAATATTCGTGCAATGTGTCTTTTCAGCATTAATTAGGTATGGAAATTGGGATTGATTTTTTGCTTGTTTTGTTACAGCAACTCCAGCCGTTGATTTTGAAGAGGATAGTTGGAGCTCTTCAATATTGGAGACGAAATCAACAGAACACGAAGGAATTCATATCGGATGACTCTGATTTCATTTACATTTCTGAGATACTTGGAGCATCGCATTCGCATCATCTTCAGGAAGATTCCAATGTCTTCTTCTCGATCGAGAAACAGTTATACAATACCAAAGACACATCGAAGGTCTCTAAACGCCAACGAAAGCTCGTGTTCGACGTAATCGTCGAAATCCTTGAGAAAAGTAGACAGTTTCCGCCATGGAAGAAGGTGGTTTCCTTTACAGATTCCGGTATGTCTCTAAAACAGATATGGTCTGAATTTCAGAAAATCCGAGAGATAAACACCGGCGATGGCCTATTGGAATTGATTACCGGTGTTTTAAGGAAAGATATCGTCGGAATCAATGATTGGGAAGATTATCCAATCGAGACGTCGGAAGCGATACTGGACATCGAACGGATGATCTTCAAGGATTTGGTGAACGAAGCAATCCGAGATCTAACTGAATTTTCCGGCAGATCAATGTTTTTGAGACCTCAAAGGAAACTAGTTTTTTAAAGCTTCAGAAATTAGTTTAATCTAATAATTTCCATGCTCTTTTTCTCCTTTAAGATATAATTTTATTCCTTAATTTTGTTTTTTTGGTTAGTTTTGTTAAACCACCTACCTTTGTAACTAGTACTGTATTTGATTCTTACTTTTGTTTATTAGTGTAACTATAGAAATCTTGAAAGAAATATTATACTTAGAAATATG